CGCCAGCGTCCCGCCCGCGCCCGCTGCTGCCGCAGGCCCCGCCTCGCCCGCGCCCACTCGCTCCTCCTGGGCGGCTGCCAGCGAGGACCCGCCCCCTGCACAGCCGGCGGGGCGCCAGGTGACTAATCGGCTCAGTGGGCGCCTCCCTCCGGGGGGCTCGTGGGGACCGGAGAGACGCGCCTCTACCTGGCCGGGGAGGCCGGGAGGAGGCCCGGCCAGGGTGTGACTGCTGCCGCCCGCAGGGGCTCATGGCCTTCCTAAGCGGGACTTCTTGCCCGCCCCGCCCCCCGATCCTGGATGTCCCCACCCCACCCCAGCCCAGCCCGACTGCGCAGGGCGCAACCTCCGAAGGGCCCCTCACTCCGGACCCGGTTATCCTGAGCTGAGCTGCCTGTGGTCAGTGAGCTCACTCACATATCACCCCGAGAGGCATGAGTTCAGGGCCCAGCCTGGCCCAGCTCTGTGAAGGCCCCCCCGCCAGGCCAGGCTTTTCCTGGACCCGGAATTGCTGTTGTGGTGGTTATGTGACGCCCCCCTGTGTGGCAGTGGCTGAACAGGACTGCAGCCTTCACTTGAACCTGCCTGCAGGGAGTGTGCAAGATGCTTCCTGGGTCCAGGGGTGAGGGTGACAGGAACGTGCAGGGCCCCAAAGCCCCTAGGGTACAGCCAGAGATGGACCAGAGGCTTCTAAGAGGTTGGACTGGAGAGGGAGAGAAGGGAGGGAGGGAGAAAAGAAGGCGGGAGGAGGGAGGGGGAGAAGGGGAGCTGGCAGAGGAAAGCAAGATACCATATAAGGAATGGGGCTCCGGAAGCTGAGATTCCCTCCAGAGGGAGGCCCCTTCCGCTTCCCTGGCAACCACACCTCAGCACGGTGGGGGAGGGCACCCTTCATGGCTTACTCCAAGCTGGATGCTCCGGTCTAGGCCTCCCATCCTCTGATGTTACCTGAGGACATCCGTAGGGTATCCAGTACCACAGCTACCAACAGCAGAGGGCCACAGACCTACAGTGACAGACTTCAAGGACATCCTGAGTCAGCTCCCTCTCCCTTACTCAGACACACACTGCACACTCATAGCCCCCCAACAGCCCACTCACAGCCCTCTGTGCACACTAAGGCCCACTACTCAGTCCTCCTGCATACGAATGCCCCCCACTCACAACGCTCCATGCACACTCATGCCCCCCACTCACAGCCTTTCGTGCACACTCATGCCCCCCACTCACAGCCCTCCGTGCACACTCATGCCCCCCACTCACAGCCCTCCATGCATACTCATGCCCCCCACTCACAGCCCTCCGTGCACACTCATGCCCCAGTCTTCCCACTTTCTATTCGCACACCTGCTGAAATCCCCCCATCTCATCCCCTCAGTGTCAGTCCTCCTGCTCTTGGGAAGTTGGGGAGCCCTGCCTAGCTCAACCTGTCGTCCCCTTCCCCCAAGGAGCTTCCATCCCTGAGGGGAATGTCTTTCTGGGGAAAAAAAAAACTTCCCCCAAATGGCTCTCCTGGTATTTCTAATTAAAGGCAAGTAGGCGGACACAGAAGGCAGAGGGACACCACAGTGAGGAAGGGGAACCAGGCAGAGAAACTGCTAGAACAGGGACCAGCTGGAGTCTTCCCATAGAGGAATCCTGAGAGCTGGAGGTTCCAGAGAGGCCTGAGTCCCAAGGTACCTGCAGGGTGGACCCTGCCCTGCCTATGTGCCTGAGTGTACCAGCAACAGCAACCATGGATGGCCAAAGCCAGCCCCTACTTTTCAGGCCTGCCACGTGGCTCCTGAGGCCCCCTGACCAGATGGACCAGGACAGCCTCCCAGGGTCCCCAGCCCACAGCAGGAACCAATGAACAGGCTGATGGAGTGGGACCCTGGGGACAAACAGGGATGAGCAAGCAGACTGAGGTGTGCCGCATGAGCCACACAGTGGCCTGGGATGGCCAATCACATGGTAGAGTTCCCAGTGCTGAGGTGCCATGGCCCTCTGGTCACCCGCTCTCCCATCACACTAAAGGGAAAGACCGAGGAGACACTGAGGGACAGGTGACATGGTGCCCTGCCCAGAACCCAGTGACAGGTGACAGGCGACAGCTACTGCCACTGCTCTGGGAACACTTAATCACTGCCCAATTACCGCCCCAGAAACCTCAGCAAACCCCCGCACTGGAGCCTGGGGTTCCATTCTTCCGCCTCTGGAAAAAAGGCTGCACTGGCTCCCTGCCTCTGGGGAGGGCTTGGATGCAGGTACTTAGGGGACAGAAGCCAAGCTATCTGAGTTTCTTGAAGTCTGGCCTGATGAGAAGCAGGGGTCCTGGGGGGTGGGCAGGCCAGGATGATGGCAGAGAGGCAGGCCCGAGGGGTTAGATCCAGGTGGTCTTGTTTAGCAGCCACACCAGTCCTGGCCTCTGTCCCCAGGGTTCCAGAATCTCAGCTTGGAAAGCCACCCTTTTCAAGGACACCTTCAAAGTGTCACCTCAGGGAGCTCTGAGCCCAGGGACCACCCTCCCCCTCCTGTCCTGCTCCTGTCCCTGGAACCCCCAGTTTCACCTCACACACCTTAAACTTCCTGTGGCCAGGAGCTTCCTGGCAGGGTTCATACCTGCCTGGGGTCCCCCACCACCTGGGCCCCACCACCACCTGGGCCCCCAGAGGCGTGGTGCTCAGTCCCTAGTCTCCTTGCTCCTCATGAGACAGCTCCAAGCTCCTCCATGGTCCCTGTGGGGTCCAGCTGTCTCTGTCTGGCCCACGGTCTAACTAGCGGATATTTTCTCCCTGGCAGGGCAGTTAGCACATCTTAGGAGGGCAGCTCCTTGAAGGACAGAACTCGGGCCCCAGCCGCACACAGAAGTGTACTGTGCACACATAGGCATGTGTCCGTGCACATGAACAAGCCTATACATACATGCATGAACACGAACACCTTGATGGTCGCCAGACCCTTCTGCCCCTGTAGTCCTCGTGGTGCCAGAAACCAGGGCAATAGGAGAGGGATGTGGCTGGGATCTAGTGGCCCTGATCTCATCTGACCTGGGTCCCATCACCTTGTAGGGGACACAGGCAATGGGTATAGGCTGAACTGCCCCCGGCCCAGGAGCCTTGATCATTGGTGGGTAGCATCCCAACATCTCTGCGCAAATGTCCTCTGTCACCTGGACCAGAGCTCCTGGAAGCCACTGGACCTGTTGACATTTGCCCTCAGCCTGTTCCCAACCCCCAGCCCTGTGCTCAGTTTGGGGGCACGACTTCTTGGTGCCCTGGCCAGCTCCAGGTCCGCAGCAGGCTAAAGCCATGAGTCCAGACTGAGCACCTGGTGGGTCTGAGGAAGAGGAAGGGAGTCACCCCTCTGCACCCCCTTCTAATCATCTCACCTTTCCCTTTCTAGCAGTGGGGAGCAATGCCAGGGCCATGCTGAGGGCTGCGGGAGCCCTTCCTTGGTGTCTCGAATCCAGCAGGAGTGGAGGAGGGTCCTGCCTTTGGAGGCTCCTAGAGCCACAGCCTCCTCCACTCCCCAGGCGGTCAGCTCAGGCTGTGCTGACACATGGGCGAGCCAAGGCCACCTGGACCTCCCACCAGCCTTCTGCTGGCTGAGTGACTTCCGGCCACCCCACTGTGGGTGTCTGGGCACAGTGGGGCTGGGCGACCTGATCCAGGTGCCAGGAGCTGAGGGCTGAGGGTCCTGGTCTCCTGATGAGGACGCAGACATGACCCACAGTGGGTTTGGGGCTAAGACTGGAGGAAAAGATCAAAGCAGGGCAGGGTGGATTGAGGTGGAGATGCTGGGGAAGCAGAGGAAGATGGTGAGACCAAGCCATAGCTGCTGCTCAGTTTCTCTAAAGATGTCCTCATTCGGCCTTCACCAGGGTCTGGAAAAGTGAGGGACCTGCCCCAAACCACTGAGCTGCCCACTGCTAGGGTATGTGGCAGGGACTGAAGCCAGGGCCTTGGGCCATGAGAGACTGAGATGCCCCCCCCCCAGGGCTCAGAGCTCCCCCCCCCCAAGCCTCGGGAACATGTTCTCTCTGCCTCCTTCCTTCCTCTTCCGTCTGGCAGGCTGTGTGCTGCATCCTTGTCCCCGGAACAGGCAGCCTGTTTGTTCAGGGCCCCCACACACCAGACCCTCCTCCCTCTTCCCTCCTCCCTCCTCCCTCCTCCCTGCCTCAGCACCTCTAGTCCAGCCTCTAAGGAAGCCTGGTATTTTTCCATGGATCCTGTACTTCCTTTACTGCTCCCTGTGCTGGCGTCCCCTCTGCCCACCTGGCAGTGGACAAGGTTTGTGAGAGTCCATCCTCAAGGCACCTGTGTGCCTCACCTCCCACAGCCATTATTTGGAAGGGAGACTGAGGCCCAGAGAGGGCCAGGAACTTGCCCAAGCCACACGGCAAGGAACGCCAGAAGCGGGGAAGGGAGTAGAGTGGAGGTCCGCGCTCCTAGGGCATTCTGTAGGTACCTCCTTGTGCTGTGTGACCACGTGCGAGTCCCCAGAGCCCCTAACCTCCCTGGCCTCACTTTCACCACCAGTGGGCCTCGGCTGTGCTCCCAGCCTGGCCTCTGTCCTCTGCCACCTGTCAGCAACCAGCAGGTGGCCTTGCTCACAGCCTCAGCACTTCCTGGGGCTTCCTTCCTGGGGGTTCTTGTTCTCGGGAGCAGCTCTGCCCCTCACAGTCACTGCCCAAGCTAGGAAAGGCTGGACCATGGGAGGGAAGGCCTCCTGGGTGTAGATCTTGGATCACATATGCCTGGAAGCAGGTTGAGGGGTGGAAACGAGAGGCAGGGGCCAGACCTGAGGAGCGTCCTGATGGACAC